CCTACAAACCTTAGGCATTCTTCTGTTACCACCGCAGCATTAATTTGCATCAACGTTGATGGCGCCCTCCATCCTGCTAGAGAAGGGCATGATGTGTGCTAGGATTGCTCTGGGCTGCTAGTCTAGCCTGTGGGTCCCTGCCCTGGTTTGGAAGTAGTTGCCAATCTGCTACAATGTTTAATCTGCAGTGGATTTTCTTTCTGCCACTTATGTCCCATTTCTTTTTAAAGAAAATTTCCTTTTTAAATTTAAAGTACATTTAATTTTTGGAGATAGGGTCTTGTTCTGTCACCCAGGTTGGAGTGCAGTGGCACAATCTTGGCTCACTGCAACCTCTGCCTCCTGTGCTCAAGTGATCCACCGCAGCGTCCCAAGTAGCTGGGACTACAAGCACCTGCCACCTAGCCCAGCTAGTTTTTTGTATTTTTCTGTACAGATGGGGTTTTGCTCTGTTGCCCAGGCTGGTCTTGAACTCCTGGGCTCAAGCGATCCACCCTCCTTGGCTCCCCAAAGTGTTGGGATTACAGGCGTCAGCCATTGCACCCAGACTTATTTTTTTTTTTTTTTTTTTTTTTTTTTTGAGACAGAGTCTCGCTTTGTCGCCGAGGCTGGAGTGCAGTGGCACAATCTCGGCTCACTGCGAGCTCTGCCTCTCGGGTTCACGCCATTCTCCTGCCTCAGCCTCCCAAGTAGCTGAGACTACAGGCGCCCGCCACCATGCCTGACTAATTTTTGTATTTTTAGTAGAGACAGGGTTTTACGTTGTTAGCCAGGATGGTCTCCATCTCCTGACCTCATGATCCACCCGCCTTGGCCTCCCAAAGTGCTGGGATTACAGACTGAGCCACCACGCCTGGCTATATCCCATTTTTTAAGGATGCCCCTTTGAATTGCTGCAATTAATATTTTTTCCAATAGATAAATATGAGCTTGTTTTAATAGTTAAAGTATGTTGAATTGAAGCTTTTACTGCTATTGTACACTGTAGGCAGGTATGCTGTTGGAAATGAATGAATAGGCCTAGAGAAGTGCAGGACAAAAGGCCAGCCAGTAAACTGGTAGTTGTGTGTAAATTGCCGGTAATTTATCAGGAATATCTCTCCAGAGGGACTGTGCTGTAATGACTCTACCACCTAGCATTGCTTCAACCTGAGCTCCCATTTTTTAGATGTCAGAACCAGTGCTACCTGTGGTGAGGGGTGGGGCGGGAGGGGGCCTGTATCTGTCAGGTTTCCTAGTGAGTAGAACAGGAGGATTTGCACTATTAAAGGTCATAGTGCATGGTGGTTTGGAGAGGAGTTGTATGCCTAGTCTTGTTGCTTATTTGGTGTTTTCTCTCACATACACTCTCGCAAGTCTGCTTTAAATGCTTGATGTTTAATTACATAAATAGCATCTCCACTGAAGCAGACCTATGAGGAGACCTCTGGATCAAAGAGGGGTTCTAATTTCAACCAGTTTGAGTTTTTTTGTGGTTGGTGCATGATGTCGGAGAGGAAGACTGACTGCATCTCTGCTCAGGTGTCTTCTCTGGGGTTGTCACACTCCAGGGTCTGAACTTCAGTTCTGGAAGTTTGATTTTTGTCAGTGTAGCCAGATTGAGCGTCTTGGGACTCTTAGGGGCCAAACTCTTGGGAGATTGATGGTAAAACTCAGGATACCAGCTCGTTGCTTACAGTGAGAAATAGAACTTCCAGGCACACTCAGACCCAGGTTGTCAGGCTCCATCCTATGAAAAATCCACTTTAGAAGTCAACTAGGCAAACCTGGCATTAGAGCAAGGTGACTTAAGTGGATAATCTTACTATGTCTGTTGGGGCTGTGATACATGTCGATCATGTCCTCAAATCATGTCTTCCACCTGGCCCATTGGCCAGGACTGCTCCCTTCTGTCTCCTCTTTCCCAGATGGAAATGGAGACGGAGACATGCTGGTAAGTTTTAGGGGCTTCTCCAGAGTCTCTTCCTTCTGCGAAGTAGTCTTTTTGGATAAAATTAATCAGATTGTTGCTGTGACTAGGCTAATAAAATAGATTTTTTTTTTTTTTTTTTTTTACCATTTCATAAGAATTTGATTATATTTTTTGGTTTGTAAGTGATACAGTTATGATTTTCAGAGTTCAGTGGCCGTGATTGGCCTTTACTTGGCTTACATCCATCATGCATTGTCCACCCTCCCCACTCCCCAGTCTTGGCAGCCTGCAGAGCAGAGCACGCTCAGCCATTCTCTGGCAGGCAGAACATTCCATAATGTTCTCGGGCTATGTGCTTTTTCTTTGGTGCTCTCTTGGGTTGGGTGAGCTCCCTTTACACTTTATTTTCCAAATTAGGTGTCAATGTTGTACAGCCTCACAGTTGACATCAGCTGCTTTCGACTATGTAACTTCTTTTCAGCTCTTTGTGCCTTGAATTTTAAAAAGGATCTTTGTATAGTTTTTTCCTGCCCGAAAATATAATAATAAAAACTAGCATTGATAGAACTCCCGTTATGCCAAGCACTGTGCTAAGACTTCACGTGTATCATCACATGTAACCCTCACAGCGCACTGTGGGGGAGGCATTATTGATACTTCTGTTCTCTAGGCGAGGACACTTGAGACATATAGCACTTACAAACCTGTGTTAGGCCACACAGCCGTTGCAGGGATTCAGACGCACGTTTATGTGACACTCCAGGTCTTAACCATGGTGCTGTGTCACTGGCCAGTAACTAACTGGAGAAGGCTGGCACCTCAGCATAGGGTAGGAGATTTTTTTAGGGAGAAGCCTTCCCCACTTGTTTCTGACGCGCGTGTGTGTGTGTGTGTGTGTGTGTGTGTGTGTGTGTGTGTTTACTTCCAAGTACACTTTTATAAATATTCATTAATTAGGTCTTTGGTTCTTATTTTACCTCTATTCCATTCATAGAAAAAAAAATTAATACTGCCCAGCCCATTTCTCTGAAGAGCAACATGGAGAAGCCTTTTTTTTTTTTAAATTTTGTGTGGCACATGTATGACATGCTCTAAGATCCTGCACACTGCTTGGTAGAATTTGCTGAAGCCGCCCTGCCTGCTCTGCTGATTGTGTGCGTAATCACAAATTAACCTCGTCCCATGATCAGGCTTGACCTCTTCTACCCATTCTGCACAAAACATTATGCACCCCTACTGGGCCAGACTCTTGCTAGGTGTTGGGGTGAATTTCAGACATCCAAAGAGGGTAGGTAATGACCTGTACACAGTGGCACTTGGTCTACTTGAGGTTTGTATGGATGCTCTGGTTACTTGGAGGATGGAATGAGTCTCTGCCTTCGAAAGCTGTCACAGAAGGGAGAGTATTGAACTGACTCTCAAGGGGTATTATGTAGGAGTTTGCTGGGCAGAAAAGAGGAGGGTAGGCAGAGGACAGCCATGCAAAGACTTGAAGGCGTAAAGTCTGGTGCCCTTGGGTTACAGGATAGCTAAAGGCTTGCACACAGTGTAAGCATGAGTGAAGAAGAAGGGAGGAAGACCAGAAATGAGGCCTGGCTTTTATCCTGTGGAGAGTGATGAGCCACTGAAATATTTAGTAAGAAGATGGCCGGGTGTGGTGACTCACGCCTATAATCCCAGCACTTTGGGAGGCTGAGGAGGGCGGATCACTTGAGGTCAGGAGTTTGAGACCAGCCTGATCAACATGGTGAAACCCCATCTCTACTAAAAATACAAAAAAATTAGTTGGGTGTGGTGGCGCATGCCTGTAGTCCCAGCTACTTGGGAGGCTGAGGCAGGAGACTCGTTTGAACCTGGGAGGCGAAGGTTGCAGTGAATGAACATCGTGCCACTGCACTCCAGCCTGGGTGACAGGGTGAGGCCCTGTCTCAAAAAAATCAAAAAAGAAATGTTTAGTAACAAGAGTGTTATGCAAAACGATCTGATTTGTGTCCCAGGAAGATCACTTTGAGGGAGGGGAGGATGGACAGGACATGGGAAAGAACACTGAAGGCCATGGAGGTAACCAGTGGAAGGATGAAGGCATGAAGTGGAGGCGGAACCAACATAGCTGGTGAACCTCATGCCTGGGTGAAGGAAGACAAGTCACAGATGACAGATTTGTTCTCGCATGGAAGAAGGGCTAGATTGGATGCCCCTGAGACACAGGAAAAGAAGCAACCTTGGGAGGGGAAACGAGGAGAACTGAGTTTGTGTGGGGCCTGGAGAATATGTGGTATCAGGTATCTATTGCCATTCAGAGGGATGTGTGGAGCTGGAATTGGTGATTGCAGATTGGTTGGGATACAGTCCGAAAGGAACTGACTGGACCCCAAAGATCACCAGTATTCAGGGAGCAGACAAGTGAAAAAGGACCCCGAGGAGGCAGGTTCACCTTGTGCACCATGGCTTGGGAGGAGCGATTCGAAGGCGTGGGGAGTCGGCAGCAGTGAGACCGCAGAGAGGAGTGCAGAAGGGAAAGAGGCTTTTATTGTGAGCCCTCATTGTGTCTTCTTGATAGTCAAGTAGCTATAAAAGGTTATAAAAGAAAAAAAAGTCTGAGTCTATAAATGAAAACTTCATATAAAAACGTTGGCACTGAGGCCAGTGGCCTCTAAAAGAGCTTTTTATACCCGTGGACTTCGGCACACCCACCCTCCGTGGGAACTGCAGAAATTAGCTGAGATGACCTTCAGGTTCCTTCCTATCCTGAGAGCCTGCGCCTCTGGGCTTCTTAATTTGAGGGAGAGGAGGAATATCCCCTAGGATATGAGGGTGCTGGAGAGATGCCCACAGTGGCTGTAATGCTTGACAGCAGGGCTGCATTTCTTAGAGGGGTGTACACTTAGGGCAGCTGGTCTGAATCTTCCAAGCATAAACACTTTCTAAAATCTAATGGGGTGTCTGGCTACCACCATGTGTAGAGCAAACATCCCCAGTAAAACAGTTCTGACTGGGTGGCTGGGGGGCAGATATTCTTATACTATAGAAATTCTTAATGACTTCAAGTGGGAGTTGGATAGATTTAACCATTCCATTCTTGCCATAGATTCTATGGAGGTGAAACCTATCATGACCAGAAAGTTGCGGAGGCGGCCAAATGATCCCGTCCCCATCCCAGACAAGAGGAGGAAACCTGCTCCAGATATCCATTTACATCAAGCTGTAACCGCCTTTCTTTCTTAAGACTGTGGAATCCTGTTTATCCGTTTGCTAGGGTATACATGGCCGTTGTCCTACAGAAATAGTAATATTTAATTGGAAAGCATGTGTAAAATGTTTGTCCAGGGGTTGGGGGTTGCTCATTTTATGGGAGTCCTCATTTGCTACTGCTTTTGGTGGGAGAGATGTATAGAGAGTTGTGATTTGGAAAGGTGCTTTGCGTGCAAAGTTCAGCCTGGTTTTAATGCTAACATCCAGATTCAGGGGCATCTGAAAACCTGATGTGCCTTAATTTTTTCACCTGTAATTTTCCACTTTCCAACCGTAAAATGAAGGCAGTAATATCTACCTTTATGTATCTCCTCTGTTATCTATGTCCATAATATAGTGGATTGCAAACTGTTTTTAAATTAAAGCAAATGAGGTTTCAGTCAGATATGAAGCAGCCTTTTGATCATAAAAATGGTAACGGAAACAGGAAAGATGGAGAAGTGTTGTTTCTGTTCCTTTCGAGGAGATGGTAAATAGCTCTCTGCCCAAAATGGCTTAGTCATTTGTGTGCCGTCAGGAAAGGGCATAACTTCAGGTTGCTTCCCCTTCACAACAGGATTTAAGTTGCTGAGGGAAGATTAGCCTTACCTTGGGTGTGTGTATTTGTGCAAGTCTTTAGATCTTTGGAACAAAAGCGTTTTATATATTCATGATGAAATTCTTATTTTTACTGTCTCCTGTGCTGTATTATTGTAGATGCCTAATGAAGCTCATTCCACCTTCTCATCCTAGCAGTGGGGGATGTGAATTCTTTTATGTATTCAAGTACCATGACATTTAGTAGGAGAATCATAAATTTCTAAGAAGCAAACTGTTACTGTAGAAACATCATTTAACAAAATCACACTTTGTAAATTCTAAAATACTGGTACCATTTTGTTGATTACTCTTTGCTTGGAAACTGTACTTTTCACACAGAGTCCTTTAACTCTCAACACCCCAGCTAAACTATTTGTTAACAGATGAACAGATCATGGAGGATCTGAGAACATTAAATAAGGTACAGTTTGGCTTTTTTGATTTATTTGAAAACTCAGGCTTATGTGGTTTTTTGCTTTCCTTTGTTAACATGTTACTTGTTAAATCATTATGATACTTTTGACACCTGAAGTTGCATCTGAAATGATTTTCTCTAAGATTTTTTGTTGTTATTCTTCCTACAGCTTAAGTCACCCAAGAGACCAGGTGAGTGCATGATGTGTTGGCATTTGTGCAATCTTTTTATCATGTTGTTGGAAAAGCATGTGAATACCTGTCAGGAAATTGTTGCAATTTTCAAAAATGAAATGTTTATCATTTGCCTAAGAGTAGACATCACAAAAACTGAAGAGGACCTTAACTACACCCCTCCCTGATTTCTTTTTTTTTTTTTTTTCTAACCCCTGGGTTGTTATTTTTATTTTTTTCTTAGGGTTTATTGTAAAAGAGACATTTGATTGGCTGGTAAAGGTTTCCTTCTGTGTACGCATCAGGCATAAGATTTAAATACACATCCATTTCTGAAAATGAAACTAGGATTTTAAGTGTTATTGGCTTTCTAAAGCCAAGTCCTAGGCAGTTCTGCTCCAGTGGCTTTTCATGGCCTGACTCTGGTAAGGCATTCGAAGGCTGCTCTGACTCGCAGTTCATAGAAGAGACCAACCGGCTCAGTATTCATGGTTGTTCCTTCCAGAACAGCACTTGAGATCATCAGTGCTAGTTGCCAACTAGAATGCTGAATTGGTGACATCTTTTTTTGTTTAAAGCACCATGATTACTCACACATCCCTCTACTTCCTGAGTCTTGTGGAAGAAAAACAAGAGTCTTCTTTTTCTGGATAATGTCTTCCTGGGGGCCTCTGTGGTCCACAGAGACGTCCTGACCTTCTGAGGCATGCATAATGGGGAGGGGGTGAGGGAGTTGTGTGAGTGTGTAAATTTAGTAGTTCTTGAAATGATTCCTTTTTTGGATTACAGAGTCTCACTCTGTCGCCCGGCTGGAGTGCAGTGGCATGATCTCTGCTTACTGCAACTTCCGACTCCCAGGTTCAAGTGATTTTCCTGCCTCAGCCTCCCGAGTAGCTGGGACTACAGGCGCGTGCCACCATGCCTGGCCGACTTTTTGTATTTTAGTTTCACCATGTTGGCCAGGTCTCATCTGTTGACCTCGTGGTCCGCCTGCCTCGGCCTCCCAAAGTGCTGGGATTATAAGCGTGCACCACTGCACCCTGCTGAAAATGATTGCATTTTAAAGAGATTTTCATAATACTTGCCCTTTGATCACCAGGGCTTTAGTCCTACTGTAAGTGACCTTATATATTTGCACATTTGACCTTAATCTTTCTGAAGCCCAGGTGTCTCTTCCATTTGATGAGGTTAATCTGTGCCTTGCCTACTTTCCAGGGTTGCTTTGCTTATCAAGTTTAGATGGAATATACAAGAATTTTGCTGAATTCCCATGCATTATTACTGTAAGGGCTCAATGATGATTATTACCACATTCTGATAGTGTTTCAGTTAAAGCATGTTAACTGGTAGACTCGCATGTGTTGGTTACATTCTTAGTCATGTAAGTGTTGGTTTCCTCCAGCATCTCCATCCTCTCCTGAGCACTTGCCTGCGACACCCGCGGAATCTCCAGCCCAGAGGTTTGAAGCTCGGATAGAAGACGGCAAACTGTACTATGACAAAAGATGGTATGTTATGGGAAAACCTGGACTACTTGTAAAAGTCTCATACCAACCACTTGGAAAGAGGGCTGGGGCTGTTGTAGTTATTTCAGAGCATTGCTGCTGTTAAACTTACATAGTACTAAAAGTAGAAACCCATTAAAAAATGTATTAGCAGTCATTTAGCTAATACTTCCGGTAGATCTTTGAAAGCAGTGTTTCCCAAAACCATGTTCTGCTCCCCTTCCTTCTCCATTCCGCTGTCTCTGTACTAGAATTTGCAGGCTGCTACCTTGTATGGTGCCCCTGCCAACTGGGGCTGGGGTGTATGTCCCCCTGTGACCCCTCTTAACTCTGCCCCTGTGTGCTAAAGTTAGTAGGTGCTCTTCGGATTAAAGGATTTTGTGGTCATATCAGTTTGGGGGATGATCATGTTAATTAAGATAAGTGGGTTTCTCCCTTGTAGCACCCTTTGGGTCCTGTGATATGCTAATGTACACTGTGAATTTCTAAGATGTTATTAGTTGTGTTTTGATGTCACATACCCTTTTTTCTTACATGATCCTGCTGCAGAAGTGGTCAAGGATACTTGCTTGGGGGAGCTGTATCCTAAAACATTCCTAGTTTGTTTTTTGTTTTTTGAGACAGAGTCTTGCTCTGTCGCCAGACTGGAGTGCAGTGGTGTGATCTCAGCTCACTGCAACCTCCGCCTTCCCTGTTCAAGCCATTCTCCTGCCTCAACCTCCCGAGTAGCTGGGATTGCAGGCACCCGCCACCACGCCCAGCTAATTTTTGTATTTTTAGTAGAGACGAGGTTTCACCATGTTGGCCGGGTTGGTCTCGAACTCCTGACCTCACATGATCTGATTGCCTCAGCTTCCCAAAGTGCTGGGATTACAGGCGTAAGCCACCATGTCCTGCTTTATTCCTAGTTTACACTGAAGACTCTTTGAAACCTTCAGACCGCCTAGCATTTTTCATTGGAAAGGTAATGGCAAAACAGTACGGAAGAACCTTAAAAGCTCATACTTTTGTTCATTCAACAAACATTTCTTCTGTATTAACACTTTCTGCTGGGTATGAAATGGATACTGCCATCATTTCTCAGGTCTTTTCATTCTGATATATTTCTTTTTATTCTTTGTCCATATGCAGGCATACTCTCTATTCATTTTAAGTCATAATGGACATATGGTTGGCTTTGCCTTTCCGTTTGGTTATATTGAGAATGTTTTTCTGGGTTACTATAAGGTGTCTGTAATTATCATTTATAATGGCTATGTAATGACCCTTTGAGTTTCAGTATCTAACCAAAAGTTCCAAAATTGGAGTAATGGTTATTTATTTTGAATTCTTAAAAAAAACCAGCATTGTGTTAGATTGGTTACTTGATAACATTGTACTTGTCAGAAATGCTTAGGGTTCTTGTCATGCCTGAAATAAATCATTTCTACCTACTAAGTTGCAGTGAGTTAATTACCCAGTAGATGCTGGAGGCTCACTTTATCACCAAGGCTGGTCTTGATGACTTCTTCCCCTCTGATTTGGTTTTCTTTGGCCTTCTTCAGAAAGGTCGGTTTGTACTGTAACATTATGTCTCAGAACACATCGCCACTAGGTGGCAGGTTCTAACAGCTTAACACCGAGAAGGGCAAAATGAGATGAAAAATGTTTCTAATAATGAAAACCAAATAACCTTTAAAGATCAAGCCCACACATAAGAACCACCTTTGAAAATGATGAGATTTATCAGTAACATTTTTACGGATCTATGAGTCTTAAAGCCATGTGATATTTCCAGTCGTGTTCATTTTGTTAATTGTGTTGCTTTGAATCTTCCTCTTTCTAAGCTTAATCCTCAGACTTGATGAGACATGTCTTGAGGGTGAAAACGCAGTAAAATAAAATTCTTGTTTTTTTAAAAAAAGGATCCACAGTGTCCAGTGTTTCCTAATGTAAACAAAATGGTCAGATTTGATGTGTTAGAACTCCTAAGCATTTTGAAGGAATTTTCACCATCTTTCTTACATCAGCAGCAGAAATGTAGAAAATAATGTTACTGGATGCATTTTACTTCTTCAGTGAAATTGAAATTGCTTATTCTCTTGTTAAATATACTGTGAGAATGTTATTTTCTTCTCTATTCCGTATACTTTTAATTTTTGGCCTTGGCAGTCAGAGATCATAATGCAGTTGTTGAAGGTGGGTCTTTCTCTTCCCCAGTGACAATTGAAGAGTGTTCCTGGGAATACTGGCTGAGCTGCTCACTGGTGCAGAGCCAGCCTCTCCCATCTCACCAGGCTCATGTTTGGCTTTTGTATCAGTTAGGAGGTTTTGTTTTTCTTTCTTCGGCAGATGTGGCCTGTGGCTGAGAGGTCAGCTACGTTGCTTTATGCAGCGTGTGGAGTGTGTGGAGGGGTGTGGAGTATTTTGGTGCAGCCATATTTTTGGCAGAAGATGTCTTGCTGAGTTTTAAATGACTTCAGCAAAACAAATGGGATTCAGGCATCGCATCTTGGTGTGAATACTTGCCAAACTCCCTTTCATTTTGAAAGATAAGGATTTTCCCTTTGCCTTGGTCTTATACTGCTTTTAAGGCATTCTATGTCATGCTATATAAGTTTCCCTCACATTTTGATTTGGACTAATGACCTCTCAAAAAATACTGTGAAAACGGGTGGACTTCTGTTTTTCTCTCCTTATTTAAATCAGGGGCTGCCTGTGAGTCAGAAACGAAGCCACCCGCTTGCCCAAGTGCATTTTCCCCTCCAGCCTTCGGTTGACACAAAAGACTTAACACAGTGAATATTTACCAGAAGAATTGGGACTCCTTGAGGTTCTGTAACATGGACTCACTTATTGGGGAAATAAAGTGTTAATACCAGGATTTCTCAGTAGGATAGAAAATTAAATTATTTTTCCTACCTCCTTGCCCCACTTTTGTGCCCACCTTCTTAAGAAATTGCTTTTCGAAAATAGTACAGTAGTGGTAATTTCTAGTTTTGTTGGGTTTAATAGTAGAGGTTCAAAGCTTTAAGAACTTAATTGTAGAGATTCCCAGGTCACAATTTCCATTAGTAACAAAGTAATAAAGTCAGTTTGACATTTGGGGCTTATTCTTTGAGGCTATTTAAGTATCTTTTTTCAGCAGCTGAGTTGCAGCTTGTGAAACAGGTTAATTGGCCAAAAAAAAAAAAAAATGCACAAATTTACTACCCTATTGATGTTGCTTCACAGCACATTTTATATCTAAACGTATTTTTAAATTTCTTTCCCCTTTGATTTTTCATTAGAAATTAAAAAGTAAATTTGTACGTTAAGGTTGTCACGTACTTTTTGGTTTCATCTTTAAACCCCCCCCACATGAACACTTTTATTTTTTATTTTTTTGAGACAGGGTCTCACTGTCCCCTAGGCTGGCGTGCAGTGGTGTGATTATAGCTCACTGGAGCCTTGATCCCCCTGGCTCAAGCGATCTTCCTGCTTTGGCCTCCCGAGTAGCTGGGACTACAGTCCTCCATTACCATGCCTGGCTAATATTTTTTTGATTTTTAGTAGAGATGAGGTCTTGCTATGTTGCCCAGGCTATCCTCAAACTCCTGAGCTGAAGTGATCCTCCTGCCTCAGCCTCCCAAAGTGCTGGGATTACAGGTATGAGCCCTGCACACTTTAATATCTAAGGACTTTTCAGAGAATTCAAATAATCTAATAGATTTGATATCTAGGGAAAATGGTTCCCCAAGACATCATGTAGTGCATGAGGATCCCTTGAAGGTCGCAGAGACTATGGTTCAGCGGGGACCTGGGGATCAGTTGGTTTGGAAGTTAGCTGCTTTGGGAAGCATGTTGGCCGCCTCTACTTTGGAGCAAATGGGGACCAATGGTGGACATTCAGGCCACCACTGTCAGTGGTTCCAGAGGAGGCGGATCTGGGAGGTGGCCACATTCCCAAGTTCCAGACCACTTCTCAGAGGTAATAGACCAGCTTGCATCATTTACTCCGGGTGTTCACTTTTAAGTCAGTTGAATGTGTTGGGTTTGGGTTCAGAGTACAACTGAAGGAAAATACAACGCATCTCATGAGAATTGTTGGACTAGTCTTCCAGAGTCAGCTGTTTTCTTCAAAAGGCCTCTGTGAGGATATGATACACAGATACACATGTAACATGTATTTTTTTTTTTGGAGACAGAGTCTCGCTCTGTCGCCCAGGCTGTAGTGCAGTGGTGCAATCTTGGCTCACTGCAGACTCCACCTCCCGGGTTCAAGCAATTCTCCTACCTCAGCTTCCCAAGTAGCTGGGACTACAGGCACACGCAACTATGCCCGGCCAATTTTTTGTATTTTACTCATTTATTTATATTTTTTTGAGACAGAGTCTTGCTCTGTAGTCAAGCTGGAGTGCAGTGGTGCTATCTCACTGCAGCCTCCACCTCCCGGGTTCAATCTGTTCTCTCCCTCAGCTTCCCAAATAGCTGGGACTATAGGTTCATGCCACCATGCCCAGCTAATTTTTGTATTTTTAGTAGAGACGGGGTTTCACCATGTTCGCCAGGATGGTCTCAATCTCTTGGCCTTATCATCTGCCCACCTCGGCCTCCCAAAGTGCTGGGATTACAGGCATAAGCCACCGCGCCCGGCCAATTTTTTGTATTTAAGTAGAGATGGGGTTTCACCTTGTTGCCCAGGCTGGTGTCGAATCCCTGAGCTCAGGCAATCTGCCCACCTCGGCCTCCCAAAGTGCTAGGGTTACAAGTGTGAGCCACCATGTGAACCACCATACCTGGCCAGATTTTTTTTTTTTTTTTTGAGACAGAGTCTCGTTCTTTTACCCAGGCTGGAGTGCAGTGGCATGATCTCAGCTCACTGCAGTCCCTGCCTCCTGGGTTCATGCAATTTTTGTGCTTCAGCCTCCCAAGTACATGGGATTACAGGCACCCACACCGTGCTGGCTAATTTTTGTAATTTTAGTAGAGACGAGGGGTTCACCATGTTGGTCAGGCTGGTCTTGAACTCCTGACCTCAAGTGATCCACCCACCTCGGCCTCCCAAAGTGCTGGGATTACAGGCATGAGCCACTGCACCCAGCTGTAACGTGTAGGTTTTATCATAAACACAGGAACACAGTGGACATAGTTTTGTTTTTTTGTTAGCAGCGTATTGAGCATGTTTCCACACTCGTAATATTCTACACCACATCCATGACCTTTCTTTATTAAAGTGTTTAGAAAGTTGTATCAGAATGACTTGAGGGTAGTTACATTTTGTTTTGTGTCTTTATCTCTTTAATAACTTACAGTCCCTTTAGAATAACTGTGAGTATTCTCCCGCTGTATTTTTATTTTAACCATTACTCAAGACTTGACTATTTACATAGGAGAGCCAGCTCAGATGTGAGAGAGAAATCAGGGGAAGGGTTAGAGTGTTAGTATGAACTTAGCTTTTTTCTTAGGCATTGTACAGTTCGGACCTTGTGATAGTACATGTTTAGCATAATGAAGGTCCCCTGCCAGTTTACCAACTCATAGAGACCCGAAAGGAACTTTAAAACTTGCATTTAAACCATTCTCGCTGTTCTAATTGAATTTAAAATTCTTTTTTTTTTTTTTTTTTTAAGATGGAGTCTCGCTCTGTTGCTCAGGCTGGAGTGCAGTGGCATGATCTTGGCTCACTGCAACCTCTGCCTCCCAGGGTCAAGTGATTGTCCTGCCACAGCCTCCTGAGTAGCTGGGATTAAAAGTGCCTGCCACTACGCCTGGCTAATTTTCATGTTTTTAGTAGAGATGGGGTTTCACCATGTTGGCCAGGCTGGTCTTGAACTCCGGATCTCCGGTGATCTGCTCGCCTCAGCCTCCCAAAGTACTGGGATTAAAGGCGTGAGCCACTGTGCCCAGCCTAAAATTCTGTTTCTTTTAACAGTATTTTCAGAAAGTACATAGACCTGGAAACCTGAGTTTTCAGTTTGTAAGTAGCAGGTTAAAGAGTGAGACCCTAGACTGGAAAAAGTTCATTATGGGAGTGAAGTGCATCCTGTACTGTGATGTCTTGGCAGTAGGTTATTTTGTTATACCAGCAAAACAGACTAAGCCATCATACTTTGCTGGGAGATGCGTTTTGCTGAATTTACATGAGTTTATGGGTCTGGTTAGCCAGATCTTTGCAGTCAAAATGAACCAAAGTTTATGTTATTAACCGATGTGGGGCTGGCCCAGGCGGGAGTTGCTGGCTGCAGCTCTGCTAATATTTCCAAGTCTTGTACTCCAGCAGGGGCTCCTTCATCCTGTGGCAGCTGCTGTTGTCCATCTGGGCTTTGGCCCCCAGCAGCTTCACTTTCATCCTTGACCTTGTCCCTGAACGTGTAGAAATAAGAAGTGGCCCTACGCTATAGGTCGACAGTAGATGCAGGAGTTGAAAGGGGAGTGTTTGTCTTATCTACATTATTCAAAGCAGGTTTCCCACATGTCCAAATTAAATACCCTTTGGTATAGACACTTGGAACTTCGCCTGATTAGCTCATACCAGGTGAGGTTATTTAATGTTCTTTATCCCCAGTGTATTCGAAGCTCTGTGATAGTGGAGACCTTGTGGCTTTTCTCACTGTCTGTCCCCAACCACCAGCATAGTCAGTGGTACACAGTAAGTGCTTCATGAGTATTTTTGAATGAGTGACTAAACGGTTGAAGTCAGCCCTCCTCCTTGTTGGTGACTGACTTGGACAAATAGAAAATAAATAACAGTTGCTGAAGCCTATTGATTTGTTTTGTCTATCCAGCCTTCTTCAGTGTTCTGGGGTGGGGCCAGAAAGAGGGGACAGAGTTTTTATTTAAAAAATTTTAATTTACTTTTTGTACTGGATCATATAGTCCAAAAAAAGGGAAAAATATATAGTTTCCCAACCCTTTCCCCAGCCTCTTTTTTCCCCTCCATAGAGGGACCAAGGAGTGTAAGCTGTAGATCCCAAAGAAGATTAGGTGGTCTTCTCACCTAAGGATGGAAGCCTTTAAATTAACCTTCATTGGAAATCCAGGCTAGTCCTCAAATGTAAATTATTAAGATTTCTTTAATTATAATTTTTGTTGTGATGGTGTTTTCATTTTGTTTGGCTTGTACTTCCTCTCTCTGTCCTTCCCTTTTTAAAAATATGTGCCTTGTTTTTGTCAGGTACCACAAGAGCCAGGCCATCTATCTGGAGTCAAAGGACAACCAGAAACTGAGCTGCGTGATCAGTTCTGTAGGAGCCAATGAGGTGGGAACCACACTTCCTCACCTTTAGGAAAGCAAAACGTGTACTGCGAAGTGTTGATAGGACAAACCTGAAATGAAAGTGCCACCAAGGAAGTACAGTGGAGTCATGTCTTCTATGTGGGTTAGATTCTAAAGTCAGGCAGAAATTGCACATTGTCAAAATCATCCTTGAAAAGCCCTTACATTTGCTTGACTACAACGTATGCAGATTTGTCTATTCCATGGGATGTTTGTGAACTCCCTGTACAGCCACTGATTTGGGAACCACAGAGCTAGATTCCAGGAAAGAACAAAAAGCAAGTTGGTGTCTGTACATTCAACTCCTGCTTCCTTATTTTAATTTTTATTGTTTTTGAGACAGAGTCTCGTTCTGTTGCCCAGGCTGGAGTACAGTGGTGCTATCTTGGCTCACTGCAACCTCCACCTCCCAGGTTCAAGTGATTCTCCTGCCTCAACATCCTGAGTAGCTGGGATTACAGGCACCCACCACCGTGCCCGGCTAACTTGTATTTTTTTTGAAGTGGAGATGAGGTTTCACTGTGTTGGTCAGGCTGGTCTTGAACCCCTGACCTCGTGATCCACCCGGCTCAGCCTCCCAAAGTGCTGGGATTACAGGTGTGAGCCACTGTGCCCGGCCAACTCCTGCTGCTTTTTAAGGTAACCGTCTACTGAGAATGGAGCTTGCCTGTGGAGCATACTCCATCTTGGTTTTGTTTCTCTAGAACTTTCACACATACCAGTAGATTTGTTTCTTGCTGTGAGGATTAAGTGAGGCACCCGGCACAGGGTCTAGTACCCAGTAAGTGCTCACTAAATGAGTGCTGACCTGAAATGACCCACACGCCACTTGCCTGCCATCTTTCCTAGCTGAGATGTCCTATTGTGCCTCAAAACAAGTTGCCAGGCTCATGCCCTTGGTTTTTGGTCTCCTCGAGACACTCCTGCAGGATGGGGTCTGGTTTTAAAGTCAACTCAGAGGGTTACACCTGAGGATGATGTGACTGCCCTCTGAGTTCTCCAAGTGGCCCTTCATGAGGAGTGTGTCCGCAATGTGTAACTTATATTGTTAGTTAAAAAAAGTTAAAAACTTTAATAGCTGGATTGGCTAGATCTTTTATCAGTCCACAAATGTCTGCAAAGAAATTGATTTTTATGTGTCTACCCTCTGTAACTTATTTGTGCCAGTGCACAGTAAATCTAATGAAACTGGATTATGAAATAACTTAAGCCTCTTCTATTCTTCCAGCTTCCTGAATTGAAAATGCCCTGAAATGTGACTAGTTTGCAAAATGATTGTTTACTTAGAAGTTAGGGAGAGCCTTCTAGATAAATGAATGCCATTCTTCTCTGGGCTGAGGATCTGTGTGAGTTCCCTCAAGCCAAGTCAGAAGCAGAACAGGGAAGCTAATAGAGAGACCTGTTCCTCAGCCAAGAGGTGTCACGATTTCATGATAAGCATTTGCACCTGGCTGGCTGGGTTGTTCTGCCGGCCCCTGTGGCCTTCTAGTACCTGACCCTAACTTCAGAACCAGTGCATTATTCTCTGTGATACCTCAAGATTTTTCAGAAAAATAGAAATGCAAGTTAGATTGTTTTTCTCTCTCTCTGCCGAATATTGTCACGTCTTGACATAATAGAGTGTCAGTGAGATCTGACAAATGGTGACACTGAAACATGTCTCCTGGAAGGAAGAAGCTTCAGTGCACTGAAGATATGCAACTCTGGCAATGGGGAAACCGTTCTCATTTCTTGGAAGTGTTCCAGCTCATTTTTCAGATCAAATTCTGGGTGATACTGGAGCTACTTGGCTTTAGCATAGCTTGACTCCAAGCAGGTTTGGTGGATAGCTCTGAGTGTGTTGATGACTCCCTGACTTAGCTTTTCTTGGGATCAGTTTTTGGTTTAAAATGATTCTGCAAGGTCCCTTGGAGGCCTGGTTTCATGTGAGGTCTTTAACTTTTTAAATTTTTAAGCCAGTGCATTTGACTTTAAAGTCTCTACTGCTCAATAATCACATTAAAGAAATTGAGATGAAACTGAGAATAAGCTTTTTTAAAACCTGAAAACTGAGTCCAGGAAGGAGGAGATAAATCTGTAAACTTGTATATTTGGGTGAGATGCAGACCTTTCAAAAAACTGTGCTTTTGGCTCCATTTTATTGCATGTTACAGAAAAACAGGCAAGAAGAAGCCAGAGACTGCTTTGGTAGAGAAGAGCCGGGGGCTTTGATGTCAGACACCAGAATTCACATCGTGATAAGTGACTCAGCCTTGCTGAGCTTTGGTTTCCTCTTCTTTAAAATGGGGCCAATGATAGTAGTTATTTCATAGGGTGTCTTGCGGGTGAAAAAACTCAGCCTTATCAGCACAGTGTCTGGCACACAGAGCTCAGTAACCCTGGCTCAGGGGGTCAGGTGACTGGCAGCAGCTCCCCTTCTCACCCATGGCTTTAGGATGCCCCTTATTGAGTGCACTTGTCGGCCCTGGCAGTCCCCTGTTGCAAGAGTTCATTCTCAATTCAATGGAAGAATGCATCTGCCCTGTAAAATGCACTGTAATCTGATACTGTCTGGGGGAGAGGGATATGGTGAGGAGGGAAGGACTCTCGGAAGTGCTTCAACCTTCTCATGATCCTAATTGGGCCTTAGCTCATTAGTGGGCATTTTTCTATTGTTGGTATTTTTCCCCCCTTTTTCTGCACAACCATTAGCCTTCATTGCCAGGAAACCAGAGGTTATATAATGTGGAAGTCCCTTGGGGCAAGGAAAATACTTCCAAATTTGATTGAAAGTTTGTGTTTATGAAAAGATCTCTTGAGTGTTGATAATGCAGTAATCAAACCAAATTTAAAAGCATCTTTAAGATCAAGGCAGAAATGGAACCCAAGGTTGCAGTGCTTTCCATTTTTGTAATCACAGGTGTGAGAGAGATGGCCGAGAAGTGAGTTCAAGGCTGATGCCTGTTCCCAGAGGCATGCCTTTAGATGGCCCGAGGTCAGAGGTGCTTATGAAGTCCTCACAAGTTGAGACAGTTTATTCCAGCAAGAGGCTACCAGCTTTCTGCCTGCGTCTCACTCGTGCCGATATTTTGATGGTGTGGGAGATTTGCTGTTCTGTATTGAACTTCTCATCTTGTTCCCTTTCCTCTCCCCTGCAGATCTGGGTGAGGAAGACAAGTGACAGCACCAAGATGAGGATCTACCTGGGCCAGCTTCAGCGTGGGCTCTTTGTGATCCGCCGACGCTCAGCTGCTTGACTTTCTGCAGTGCTCTTCTCTTGACCCTTTTTCTGGAGTGGGTTTTATTTTGTTTTGTTCTGTTTTGTTTTGTTTTGTTTTCTTAATAGAAAAATGTTAACTTCCGGGAATAGCTACTCAGCCTTGGAAATGGAGAGCACTGTCGTGGATTCCTTAAGACACTTTTGTGGCTGGTCACTTCCAGCTTTGTCAGTCTTTTCTGCCTCAACTTCTTCCAGAGATCGGTCACCAGGAGACTATTTTACTTTCAGGAGTGTTGGGGGTTTGATTTACTTTCCTTTTATTTCCTTATTTTTTGCTTATACTTGTTTTTGAAAACCTCTGAGTTTGAAGGGACAGCTGTTTCTATTAATTATCTTTAGGTCTCTCTATCATGGAGAAGAGCAGGAAGGGATACACTCTCCAGTGCATTTTCATGTTTTGAATCTGATTAGTGGATTACGTAGCTACTTTCCCCGTCGAGCCCAATTCACTATTTCCCCAGAAGCTTGGGGCAGAGGTCCTAGCAGGAGGAGATGAAGTCTCCTGGCTCTCAGCCTTCTCGGACAAATAAATGCTTTGTGTGACATCTGGCGCATGCCATCCATTCCACTGGCTGAGTGATGGAAAACCTTGCCTGGGAGACTGACTATGTGCACTGAAGTAAATGGGGTTTGGGGAGGGGACATTTCATATTTATAATGTGCTGAAGGTACCATATTTTAAATGTTATTTAATGCAGGTGATTTATTCAAACATTCGTTCTAGCTTAAGCTGGAATAAGAAGTGGTCATTTCAGAAGTTTTCATTTGGAATTCCTTCCTCTCCCTTGTTCCCAAGTTGGCAGTAGTAGTAGGTGCCATAGGCTGATTATCTGGGTAATCTCTTATGGGTGGGAGGTGAGTTTGATAGTGCAATAATCAGTGATCTGTAGACCCTCATGCACGATTCAAGTTTCATTCTTGTGGCTGATGCCATTATTGTACATTGGCCATTCCAAACCTGCGGAGAACTTTGTTGTCAGTTCCTGAGCACTCATAGCTTCATTTGGCCCAGGTTGAAGACAAGGAAAGCTCTGCTGTGGCTGCCTCTGGACTGACACCCTCCTTAATGAGTCCTGATGAAACAGCCTTTCCTACATCCTTCCCTCATTCCCATGATTGGAGAAATGATTCATTGGGTGATGAGTGTTGGGGTTTTCTGTACTCGTGTTGCCATCTTGAGATGTTTAAACATTTGGGGGTTAGAGCAACTGTTAGCGTCTCTATGGGCAATCAGTAGAACTTACACATTCTAGGAAATCTTTCTTTGTAAGTAATTCATTTGGTCTCAAGTGATTCTCTTCATGTTGTCTCTTGATGTACATACCCCATAGCAAGTTGGGGGGCTGTGATGACAATTAAATCACCTTCTCTGAAGTTCTGGCTCTACAGAGACCAAACCTTACTGACTTGTACAAGTAAAGACTTATACAGATAGATTTTTGTTTTAATTTATCTGTTTTTTCCTCCTTTTTTTTTTTTCTGGTGTTGGAGTCTTATTTAGAAAACAGGATAAATGACGCTATTATCAAAAGTTGCCTGGGGTTCTGTGTTTCTTCTCTGCCCTCCAACCCCCGACTGCTATGATGTTTACTACAGTGAACCCAGCCCATTGTAAACACAGGCTTCACCTGTTCTTGTTTGTTAGCCTTGGCTGTGAGACAGGACTTCCCTGTCTTGAACTGTTACACATACGATGTGTATGTCACGTCGCATATCATGCAGCTGTTGGTTTTCATGTAGTGCCGTGTGGTGGAAATTAGATGTATTTCATGTATTTTTTCATTGAAGGTGGGGTTTTTCAATGATCATGTGTTTTGTCCTAAACGGTATACCAAAGTTTGTTTTTATTGTTGAGGATTGTATTGATAACCACTGGGGTTCTGCATTGAAGCAGCAACAAGTTGCCTCTTTTTCTGGCCTTCTCTGGTGGGACCTCTGTGCTTTTGTGAAGCAACTATTTATTTGAAGACCAGGGTATGGGCACTTTTGCCTTCTCTCCTCTCTGACTTTTGAGGGTATTGAGGGCGCCCTTAGTCATAGTGTCGACTCCACTACTGCCTTCTCGGTGTCCTCACAACCCTTAATTGGGCCTAGTGAAAATGGGGGCAGATGAGAAGTCCATTTGAGAATCAGCATAGTAAATTACATTTCTAATCCCAGAGGACTTAATCTTTTCTTTTGTCACCCCAGAGGTGAAAAATCAGCAGTTGAACCGTTCTGACAGGCCTCAGTGGTGACCAGGAACAGAAGCAGCCTTCCTGTTAGTAGATGGGGTTACTTCTCTGGTGGGCAGAAGCCTAACTAAAGGGGAAAACACACTTTGAGGTTTCTAGATGAGGAGGAGGTTAGCTTCTAGCCTGGGTGGCCATTATTCCAAAAGATCTTTGTCTCTCACTAGACCCCAGGGCACCAGATGAATTTCCAAGTTTAAACTATATCCTGCAAGTGATTACTTTGAATCAGACCATTCTGATCAAGAACCTGTGTATGTGTTGTGTTAGAGGCATCTGCCTCAAGTCTGTGTACAGTGTTTGCTGCGGTGTGTTCCAATATTCATTTTATCTCTGCTTGGAGGTTTTGTGTGTTCCCCTCCCCCCATGCCCTGCCTACCCCATTTTCCCTGAACCATGTCCTCTTGAATAATTTCCAGATGGATTTCTGTAGCCATACCAAAGCCAGGGTGTTTTCATTCATGCGGATACTGGTATTTATAGATGTCTGACTACCTAACTTAATTTTTCTTTTTGAACTGCCAACTGGGGCCAGTGTAAGATCGATCCCAGAGGCTGATCTGCAAATCAAGCTACATGTATTTGTGTATGAGACCCTGTGTTCAGGACTGGGTGGCTTTTCTAAGAAATATGGGGTTTAAAGTGGAGTTGACTGTATTTTTTAACCTAATTCTGGAGAGAGGATTGTATTTTTTATGGTTTTTTGGTTTTGGCTTCCTTCTAACATTTCTTTAGCCTTGAATTTTTACTAAATAAATTTCCTCCTGATTAATTTTTTTTTTTTTTTCTCATCTGCGAATTTGAAATCTCGGTGCTTACTGTTACACCAGTTTTTCCAAAGAGTTGAAATCACTTTAATGCCAGAACATGATAAATTTGCAGCCATTTCAAGCAGCTGGTAGTCTTTTTTATAACATCGTTAACGGGTACCATTAAATATTCTGAGAGGTGAATGTAAAATGTAAAAGGTGTAGGGTTTTTTTTAAAAAAAGAAAACAATAAACTTTCAAAGAGAAAACCAGCATAAAGTCTGTATTGTATCCATTGACTTGATAAGTGATAGAAATTTATTTTAGGTTTTTGATCCATTGCTTATGGGGAAAGGAAGTTAGGGCAGAGGAAGGGATAGTCTAGGCATTTAATTCTCAGTGAAGAGTAAGATATAGAATGATGTCAGGCTAATACTCAGTTTTGTAAAGAGCGATCTAGGGGTGTTGACCCTTAAATGTTTGTGCACTCTCTTCTTGTTGCAGATAAAACTAATTAAAAATCAAGTGAATAAAATGGGTCTTGGGTGGAAAAACAACCTTGAAATAAACTTTCGATTGAGGATATTGTTCATTTATTTGGTGCATGATTAAGGAGGATATTGTTCCTGGCTCTTGAGGTAGTGCCTACCAATCTTAACCAAACAGTGATGGTATTTGTGCTGCTCCCGGGGTCAGCCGACAAGCCTGCGTGCTGCCGCAGGTGACCCACCTGGCGGACCTGTGACCCAGTTGTGGCACCTCTTTGGGAAAGACTGCTTTATGCTTTAGATGATGGAGAGGGGTGGTTCCTGGTTTTAAAATGTTTGAATTATAACAGAAATGTGTGCACGTTTTAATTGTAGAAGTTGTTGAAATCTCTCAAAGTGAATTCATCCATGTAACTATTAGAGCATCCAGATCAAGAAATAACATTCCCAGAACCCACAAGCCCCTTTGACTTTCAGCTACTCCTCCCGACTAGTTTTCTCTGTTTTGAGTACCTTAACCTTCAAGCTCTTGAGCTGCTTCCTTCCATGGTTGTTTTGGAAGAGCCAGGTACCTGGTATAGGCTAGGGATTGACCAGGAATGCTAAGAGTGGGCAGCAAAGGATATGACTAAATGGGGAGGGGAAAAACAGATTCAGGTCAGCCTGCTCACCCTCCCCATTGTTTCCAAGGCAAATGGGGCTTGCCCTTGATGTCATAGACTCTGCCTTTTCCTGAGTACTTTGTATATGCCAGGCACTGTATTAAACCCCTCATGGGAGGCACTTTCTACTGATCTTCACAATCTCTGGAGCAGTACTAACTCCCAAATTTAAGGCTGGCTCAATCTAAGGCTTGACTTAATTCTGGAAACCCAGAGCTCAGCACTGTGCCTCATACGTAAATACTCTGTAAAATGTTAGCAAATGATATTAGGGTATGATGTGCCAAGGCAAACTGGTGAGTAATAGTGCATGTTCTGGATGCTGGGCCCTTCCCTTGTGTTACCTTGCTTAAGCCTCATAATAAATGAAGGAGAGTACACTGCTGCTCTCACCAGTATTTAATTAATCAATTATTATTTTGGTCACCCATGAAGCAAGTATCTCACCAGTTTTTAAAGAAGGAAACAGACCCCTTGAATTACAGGAGGTGATTCTCCAACGTCGCACAGTACGTAACAGTCTGGATTTAAAGTTTCCAAGCCAGGTTTTCCCCTAACCACTACACTTTGCAGTCCTTCCCCATCTTAATCTGTTAAAATTACATTCAACATTTCCACCTTTCTTCAGGGCTTCCCTGGGAATTTTTTTTTTTTTAATCTGCTTTCACCTACTATACACACATGCTCCCAGAGCAAAATCCTAGAAGTACAAACACTATTATTTGCCAGGACCCTTTCCCCTGCCTGATAACTCTGGGTTTCTGTCTCAGCAATATAGTTGAGTGTCATGGTGACCAGCCAAGAGCTTGCTTTCTGTTGATCCTGCATGAATACAACCATCCTAAAAAGGAATGGGAACAGCTCATTGGTCTTGATGAGAACTGCTTTATCCAATAAGCAACAGTGTTTCCTTTGGACGAAAACATGTATCGGTATTTTTTCAGATCACTTCCTCCCTCCCTGCCTTATCATCTATGGAGTTGGAGCCATTGAATTGGTTTCTGAAAATGTCAGTGTGGAGTTGGCCTTCTGCATCTTGATGCTCTGATGTCAGTGGACCTTTCCATGGCATGCCCTCCTGTAAAGGCACTGTAATGGAAGAATACCTCAGCTCCATGTCACCTGCCCTGAAACTGCTCAGTTCTAATTGGCGACCTGCTTACCAGCCAAACCGGGAGTGTGCAGTCTTTAGGCAGAGGCAGGATTGGAACCAATTTCTGGCCTCTTTGACTATCATTTGAGGAACTCCAAGCCCCATCCTTGGGAAGGCTAAGCACTTTTCCTGCTTTTAAAAAGCACCCGGTGGAATGAACTAGAAACACATCATTTCACTCCCTTTGGACATAATATGTATGGTGAGGAATACATTTGCTTTAGGAACTCTGGTGTTTACCAGAATAGATATTTTTGTGAATAACTGATTATTAAGACAAAAAGATAGGTTTAGGAGGATCCCTAGAGGAGAGAGGTAGATAAGAGAGAGCATAGGTACCGAGATGCTTAATCCCTTCACTCATTTTCTCTAATCTGTGTTTACTCAATTCCCTGAAAGATACAGATCTATAAAATATTCACTTTACTGATACAAGAAGACCAATAACCCGAATCTTAAAGATTCTCTCCTATTTTTCAGAAGTCGGAGACTTAACAGTGTGTTGTGTTTTCCTGTAGGCTGATGCTCACTCAAATCTGTTGGCATCACCTCTGTCTGCCAGTGGTGTGGACAGGCAGGGGGTAAAGTAGGTGGCATTCTCAGAGCCAGTCAGGGAAACAGTGCCCCAGGTCCTGGGAGTCAGCAATGCCGGTACGGAACAAGCAGATACTGAACGCGGGAGTGTAGTACAGGTTAGCAAGCCCCTGCAGGTAATCAAGAATCCCCTTTATTTCACCACCGATTATTTTCATAAGTGTTCAAGTGTTTACTGAGATGCAGGGCGGCATTATGGCTAAGAACAAAAGCTTTGGAATCAGGATTTGAATCTGGCTTTACTGTTAAGCTGGCTAGGTGTGACCTTGGGCAACTTAATTTCTTTGAACCTCAGTTTCCTCATCTGCTAAATCATACCTACTTCAGATATGTTTGTGAGGATTCTAATATTAACACATACAGCCCCAATTTCCTTCTGGTAGGAAAAAAATTTTAAAAAATATTTAAAACAGCACCTACTGTGCTAAGTATTTTGTTAACTCACTGAATCCTCGTAACAATCCTATGAGGTAGCTACAGTTATAGTCCTCGTTTTGTAATTGAGGAAATTGAGAAACACATTAAGTAACTTGCTCAAGGTCACACAGCCAGTAAATGGCGAGACAGGATTCAGAGCCCGGGCAGTCTCGCCAGAGTCGCTGCCCTCATTCACCTTGCTGTACTATGAGGAGTACGTAACACAGGGTTGGACATGGTTACTGCCAGTCTATGGAGACTGTCCCTACCATTGCAGATGCTGTGGCCATTTGTATACTTCCTCTCTTTGGATGGTAGTCTGAGTACCAGATCCTAAGCGATCAGAACCATTTCAGGAAAGCTACTTTAGCTAACAGCAGACTACGAAGGTAAAGCTGCTGGCTTTAGAGACCATGCTCAGCATCACCTACAAATGGGTGGGGACTGCCCCAGGTGCGGGGGTGAGAAGGACTCTGAGGCCCAAGTTCCAGTATAGCAAGAAGCAGTGGCCCAATCAGTTTTTTCTGCTGTGAGCAAGGGAGCCCGTTTAGTGTTCCTGATTTAGTTTGAGCCCTTCATTTGAAGATGAAAACAGCTGCAGCCCAGAGATGTTAAATGACTTTCCCGTGGTCTTAGGGCTCTAGTCAGTACTACAGCTGGAATACGGTTGGGACAATCATTTGAGGACCTCTTTATGCCAGGCTGCGTGCTGGAAAGCATAGTGGACAGCTCCTGGGATGTGAGACTTTTCAGGACTAAAACCAGAAAGTCCCAGGCACCCTGGGATGGAAATACCTTAACACCGCCATGGTTTCGTGGGTTCATTTTTGTCTCTGTCTGTACCTGCACAGCGGAGGTGATGAAGGCCCTGAGTTCATAATCGTGGCCTAGCCACTTACTAACCTTGGGACATTTACTTAATCTCTGTGTGCCTCAGTGTTAGGGTATTCCCATCCCAGTGTGCCTGGTTCTTTCTGGTTTTGGTACTGAAAGTCTCGTATCCCAGGAGCCCTGTCAGACTGGGGCAAGCTGGGACGGTTGGTCACCCTACTCAGTTTCCACTGTAAAATGGGGCTGACAACTGCTACTTTTTCACAGATTTGATTTGAGGGTTAAATACTTTATTATGGATTAAGTACTTAGAAATAGTGTTTGGGACATAGTCTTTTCTCTGTGTGTGTGTGTGTGTGTATACACACACGTACATATGTGTGTAATATATATTATACATATGCACACATACATATACACACACATTATACATACACACATTTTTAGAGATGGGGTCTCACTCTGTTGCCCAGGCTGGAGTGCAGTGGCTATTCACAGGTACCATCATGGCTCACTGTAGCCTCAAACTCCTGGCCTCAAGCGATCCTCCTGCCTCAGCCTCCCAAGTAGCTGGGACTAAAGGCAATACATATTTATTTTTCCTTGTTATTCTTGTTTTCATTATTATTGGATCAAAGTGTTTCCACCACAGAACGGGTCCCTGGAGATCTTCACTCTTATCCCAAACAAGACAGGGAACTTTGCCATGATCATCTTTTGGTCACCTGCAGCCAATTGTTTGGAGTGTTTCTTCATCTGCTTGAAATAGTGAATAATCGTAAGCTTGAGGAACACATTCATCATTGCATTCAATTCGAAAACCATTTATTGAATTTTACTGCATGTCAGGTAGTGTTCTAGGCTCTTTCGGGGGATTCAGAGAAAGCTAGGCAGGCCTTGAGCGGTGTCTATGACCAGGAATGGGAATTCCATACAGAGGAAATGGCTTGAGCAAAAAGACAAACAGTAGCATGTGTTTAACATACATCACAAGCCTTGAACTTTTTTTTTTTTTTTAAAGACAGAGTCTTGCTCTGTTACCCAGGCTAGAGTGCAGTGGCACAATCTCAGCTCACTGCAACATCCACCTCCCAGGTTCAAGTGATTCTGCCTCAGCCTCCTGAGTA